TTGCAAACAAACCTCAAAGCTACCACGGCACCCGCACTGTTCATGATGGACGCCTCTCCTCATGGCGGAGGAATTTGCAGAGCAAATTTGCCGGAGGCGGCCGTTGCAGAGTTCTGGAGACATACAGAACGACGGGGCTACTACACGTGCTTGCAACAGGGTCCAAACAAGTTGTTACACGAGTTAGGTCTGGAGCATGAGGAATTTTTTGGGCTGGAAGTTGAAGGTCCATCACCCGAGGAGCATGATTGCAAGCTAGGGGTGCCAGGTACATTGAGAGATGCAACAGTCATTTATGATTGCATCGAATTGTTTTCAGGATTTGGAAATTGGAGCCGCGCCCATGCGGCTGAAGGTCTTCACGTGCACCCTGGCGTGGAACGGGATGCGCGGGGTGCAGCCTTTGGAGACTTAGGGAGCAAAGAGACTTTTTTGAACATAGCAAAGTCAGCTTACAGCGGAGCGGTGCTATCTCAGAGTGGCACGCCGGGCCACCGTGCTGGTCGTTCGGCACCCTTCGTCGACCTCGTTTGAGGAGTAAGGAGTGCCCGGCGGGCTTCAAGCCAAGCGACCCGGTCACTCTCGAGCAGACGATGTTGGCAGTTCGCACAGCCTTCATTCTGACTTTAGCGTTAATGGCTGGAGGCTATGTCTCTTGCGAACAACCAAATGGTTCAGTTATGTTCGGGCTACACGCTTTCAAAGTTCTCATTGAGTTGGGTTGCGTCGTTACACGCTTCAGCTTTTGTTCCCACGGCTCTGGTTTCCAGAAACCTTCAAAATGGTTACGCAATAAGTCCTGGTATTTACCGTTGGAAGGCAAGTGTACTTGCAAACATAAGGGTTCTCATTTCACTGTTCAAGGAACTTTCACTCGGAGTGCGATCGCAGTCTTCGACCGTCGGTGTCAGCCTAGTGCTGTTGAAGTTTACGGCCGGTCACCTCGGCCTGGGGAACCTGTTAGCCAGTTTTCTGCTAGCTACCCGATGCCGCTGTGCAAGGTGATGGCCTTGGGGAGTCGCCAGGCTCATTCGACCGGCGGCAACAGGCTGGGGGGCAGATCGTTGAACGCGGTCGAGAAGACAGCCGAATCCGCTGAGCCGGCGCCCAGTCGGCCTTGGCATCAGGACCCCGAGTGGGTCGAAGACATTTGTGAGTCGCTCCGTTACCATGAAATGTTTCGGTACAGGTTTAAGCAAAGTGGCCACATCAACTGTCTTGAATGTCGTGTTTACAAGACTTTTTTGAAGCATTGTGCAAAGTGCTACATTAACAAGCGGCTGGTGTGTTTGTTGGACAGTCGGGTGACTATGGGGGCTGCAGCTAAGGGGAGGAGCTCTTCACAGGCTCTATCCAGGATCTTGCGTTCTTCCTTAGGTTATATCTTGGGAAGCGGCTTGTATCCGGGCTCTCTTCATTGCAGGTCAAGTTGGAATCGAGCCGACGGTCCGTCGCGGGGCAGAGACGCCCCAGGCCCATCTCGGGAAGAGCCTTCCTGGTTGCGAGAACTCCGAAAGGGGAATCTCAAGTCCTTTGACACCATGGTGACAGCAGCCCCTTGGCATCGCCCTATTGGGAGGTGGTTTCGGTTATTGTTGTTGATCGCAGGTGACGTTGAACGTCACCCTGGTCCACCGCAATCGAGCAACGGTCGTGTTCCCGAGTACACTCCACGCGGTGAGTTGGACATGATGGGAGGGCTCTCTCAAGCCACTGCTCAAAGGATGCGGAAGTCGTTGATACAGTTCAATACATGGCTGGTTGAAAACGCACACCTAAACCTAGAATACATCTTGCAATCCGCCGAGTTGTGCAATCTTGGGCTCAGGGCCTATGGACTTGCATTGTTCAGAGAAGGTAAGCCAAGATACACGCTTGTATACACCATCACCGCCGTACAACAAATCAAACCCGAATACAGGCATATGTTGTCTGGTGCGTGGCAGGTGGACTTGAAATGGCAGATGGAGGAGCCCGGTCAATGCCGGGCAGTGTTGAGTGCACCAGTCATCCGTGCCATCTTGTGTCTTGCTCTCCTCTGGCAGTGGCGCCAGTTTGCTGGTGTTGTTGCGCTCGGTTTTGGTGGGATGCTTCACCCGAACGAGTTCCTCCGGTTAACCAGGCGGGACCTGGTCTTCCCGGAAGACGCTATGATGTTGGAGCAGTCAGCGTTGTACATCTTCATAAAGAACCCGAAGACAGCTCGCTTCGCCCGTCGTCAACACGTCAGAGTGGACGATCGATCGTTGATCTTTGTGGCAGGAGCTTTGTTTCGAGACAAACCTCTTGACACGCCTTTGTTCGGCGCATCGACGGCTGTCTTCAGGAGACAATGGAATTGTCTCTTAGATGTCTTGGAGATCCCTCGAAAGCAGAGTGTCCGAGGTGCCACACCCGGGACCCTTCGGGGGTCAGGAGCTACGCACGAGTATCTTCAGTCTGCCAATTTGGCCTTGATACAGTGGAAGGGGCGCTGGGCAAGGTTGAGGACACTTGAATTTTACATCCAAGAGGTCGCGGCTCAATTGTTCCTTTTTAACCTTTCACCAAAGGCAAGGAGCATTATTGCCCTCTTGGACGCAGAGTTAGCAGGCGTACTTCAAAAGTTGTTTCCTAAAGAATATGCTCGGTTGTGCACAGCAGGACAGTAAGGTTGGAAGAAGCTTGAGATGTTGTTCGTTGAACGTTGACGTTGCACTTCCTAC